GGAGAATTAAATTCCCCACCAACTGACCCTCTTTCATCCCTTAATCTCTGTGAAAAATGGAAGAAACTGTCATGGAAATAACAGCGCAGTAAGAAAAATAATTGTTTTGCGGCGCACAGTGACTCCCAGTAATTAAAAATTTACTTCTCCCCTCCTAATTAAGATTAAGGGATGAAAAAAGAGCGGTTCGACGGAGAATTAAATTTTTCATTAAGTAACCCTCTTTCATCCCTTAATCTCTGTAGCAAAAAATTAAAAACTGCCATGAAAGTCAGAGGCCAGTAAGAAAAATAATTGTTTTGCGGCGCACAGTGACTCCCGGTAATTAAAAATTCCCCTCTCCCCTCCTAATTGAGATTAAGGGATGAAAAAAGGGCAGTTCGACGGAGAATGATGAATAGTCAGTGTGCGCCGCGAAAAAATTATTTTTCTTACTGGCCTCTGAGATTCATGGCAGTTTTCAATTTTTTGTTACAAAGATTAAGGGATGAAAAAAGGGCAGTTCGACGGAGAATTACATTCTCCATTAATTACCCCTCTTTCATCCCTTAATCTTTGTAACAAAAAATTGAAAACTGCCATGAATCTCAGAGGCCAGTAAGAAAAATAATTTTTTCGCGGCGCACACTGACTATTCACCATTCGCCCGGTAATGAAAAATTCACTTCTCCCCTCCTAATTGAGATTAAGGGATGAAAAAAGGGCAGTTCGACGGAGAATTACATTCTCCATTAATTAACCCTCTTTCATCCCTTAATCTTTGTAACAAAAAATTGAAAACTGCCATGAAAGTCAGGGGCCAGTAAGAACAATAATTTTTTCGCGGCGCACACTGACTATTCACCATTCGCCCGGTAATGAAAAATTCACTTCTCCCCTCCTAATTGAGATTAAGGGATGAAAAAAGAGTAGTTCGACGGAGAATTACATTCTCCATTAATTAACCCTCTTTCATCCCTTAATCTCTGTAGCAAAAAATTAAAAACTGCCATGAAAGTCAGGGGCCAGTAAGAACAATAATTTTTTCGCGGCGCACACTGACTATTCACCATTCGCCGGCGAATTAAAATTCACTTCTCCCCTCCTAATTGAGATTAAGGGATGAAAAAAGAGTAGTTCGACGGAGAATTACATTCTCCATTAATTAACCCTCTTTCATCCCTTAATCTCTGTAGCAAAAAATTAAAAACTGCCATGAAAGTCAGAGGCCAGTAAGAAAAATAATTGTTTTGCGGCGCACAGTGACTATTCACCATTCGCCGGCGAATTAAAATTCACTTCTCCCCTCCTAATTGAGATTAAGGGATGAAAAAAAGGCAGTTCGACGGAGAATTACATTCTCCATTAATTAACCCTCTTTCATCCCTTAATCTTTGTAACAAAAAAATAAAAATCACCATGAATGTCAGTGGCCAGTAAGAAAAATAATTGTTTTGCGGCCCACAGTGACTCCCGGTAATTAAAAATTCACCTCTCCCCTCCTAATTGAGATTAAGGGATGAAAAAAGAGCAGTTCGTCGGGGAATTAAATTCCCTATCAATTAACTTTCTTTCATCCCTTAATCTCTGTAACAAAAGAATGAAAACAGCCATGGAAGTCAGGGGCCAATAAGAAAAATAATTTTTTCGCGGCGCACACTGACTATTCACCATTCGCCCGCGAATTAAAAATTCACTTCTCCCCTCCTAATTGAGATTAAGGGATGAAAAAAGAGCAGTTCGTCGGGGAATTAAATTCCCTATCAATTAACTTTCTTTCATCCCTTAATCTCTGTAACAAAAGAATGAAAACAGCCATGGAAGTCAGGGGCCAATAAGAAAAATAATTTTTTCGCGGCGCACACTGACT